CCCCAAAACCCCAAAACCCCAAAACCCCAAAACCCCGTCAATATTATATATTATTGAGCTTAAAAGGATATTGATGTCGAACAATTTCAAGACTTAGTTGGTGACTCTGAAAATAAGGCCTTAATTCTTTTTGAACATTTGGTTATCCATACTTTGATAAGGCATATTTTGATCTGTCTTGCCAGCATAGTGTAGTAGAGGTGAGTTCTAAAATAATGAGACGAATAAATTTACTATTTCACTAAGATTAAAGTTGTCTTTCTTCCATGCGCCTCTCCCGCTCATTGCTCCTTGTGGAGTTTCCATTCCTATGTTTCCATAATAATTTCTAAAGGCTGGGGAAGGAGATTGGCGATATGGTGACCTTAAGTTCATTTGCTGGAACTGACCAGTTGAGAAATCATTCATCGTTCTGGAAGGAGTCCCTTGCTCAAATATTCCAGTTGGATACATGGTCTGAGGAATTGAGTCGAAATTGCTTCTAAAGTTGTTTTCGCACCCAGGAGTCATCATATAACCCATTCCTCCTGTAGGAGTTTGAGCAGGTTTTTGAAAGCCACTATTGCTCGTCTGTTGTTTTGTCTCAAAGGAAGTGCTAACTTTAGGCTTTTGAAAATTCAGAGATTCAAACTTAGGTTCAGCTTTCGATTCCTTCTTCTCTTTAGGCTTTTCATCTTTCTTACTATTTTCTTCTTTTACAAGAGTAAAAAGAGAATTTTTGATGCTCTTTGTAGACTTCTTTGATGCTGCAGACTTAAAAGATTTCTCTGTTAGGTCTTCCATCGATTTAAATGAATTATTCAAATTAGGAACTTTAGGTTTTGAGGCAACCTCACTTTTTGTACTCTAAACGGATATTAGTACTTTAATAGGAAACGTCGTAAAGGAAATCATTACCTTCTTTTCCATTTGAGTTAGGCTTTTCTGGCTGATGAGTCCATCAATAGCAAACAAATATTTGTCTTTCTGGACTTCATTGCAATTCATGAAATCTTGGAGAATATTTTTGAGCATTTTTAGTGATTGAAGCTCACTTTTATTGTCAGAAGAAAGTCTAAGCATATCGATAATACTCTTTTGAAATTTCTGAGTTATTGGGGTATCTCTTGTGATAGGAGGTTTTTGGCTCATTGCTCTTTGAGGAGTAATGGGTGATATATTAGCATATCTTTCTTCTTTGTTTATGTTTAAAGAGACTTCATTTAACCTGCGTAAATTAGGGGAAGCATTCTTTGGAGTAGCAAAAATATTTTCAATAGTTGAACTTGGTGGTAGCCTCCTTTGAGGAAATCCATCGTAAGGCGATTGAAATCCAGCAGCCTGAAAATCTATCTCTGGTCTCCTATTTATGTAGTTTTGAAGAGGTGTGGATTCCAAAAATCCTCTTTGTTCTTCTTTCTTATCATATTTATCAAACCTAGTACTTGAATATTGAAAGTCTGGCTTGCTAGTAATCGAAGACTCTTTTTGTAGCTCATTTTTAATATTCTTAGCTTTCCTTTTATTTATGTTAGGCTTCTTTTCACTTGTGTTTTCATTGGATTTTCCAGCATTTGAAGGATTTCTTGGAGCATCACCGTTCTTTTCAATTTCTTGTTGTAGTTCTTTGATCTTCTCATCAATCCATGAGTCTTTATCATCTGCCTCCTTCTTCTCTTCGAGGCCACCAATAATATCATCTAATTTCTTTAGACTATTATTTCTTTTCTCTTCTCTCTTCTGCTTTGCAATAGTATTGAATCTATTCTTTACCATATTTTCGGTTCTTCCTGGCAAATATTTGACTATATCAGACCACTTGTTTCCAATAATTTTTTGTTTTGTGAGTAGGATAAGATCTTCACTAATCATCCATGGGCCTTTGATGATTCTTTCATCAAGATGATTAAGCCATCTTTCTCTGCATTGCTTGCCTGCTCTTTTACTCTGAAGTCCCATTCTTTCATTCAGTTCATTTGCTATTTTTTGCCAGTGCTTCTTCCCATGCCTCTTCACTAATTCTCTTAATATTTTATCTTCGGTAGCATGCCATGTACTTTTCCTAAAGCTCACCTTGTGTTGGGTAAGATTCCATTTGTAAAGACACTGGCTCTCTGTTCTACCGGGAATGAAATTAGCTATCTCTTTCCAGTCATGAGTGGTTAGCTTATCAGCAGAATGCTTCTTTTTCTTTAGATAAGTATTCACTGCATATTCTAATAGTTTAATTTCTTCATTTCCCCAGTTCTTCTTCACAGAAGGATTTCTAGTATTCTTCTCAGCTAAAAGTTTGTTGTAAATCTCCTTGCACATCATGTGATCAGCATTGTCATTATTTTCAGTATTATTATCATCGAACATCCCGACTTCTATTTTATGAGATCTTTGGTTCGATTTATCTATGAAGCATTAGAGATATCAAAATAATTTCCTGGTTAAATTTTAGTCAAATCTATTCCTAATAATTTGATAAATTCCACCTAACCCTCTCTTTTACCTTCACTAGACTCTTTAGAGATATTGATTGCTCTATTATCTTCCATATTTTCCAAACTATATTCTAAATTTATTAATTTAAAGCTTCTTCAGCTATAAAATTTATAAATGGGGTTTTGGGGTTTTGGGGTTTTGGGGTTTTGGGG